TGAATGGAAAGCAGGCTGGAAGATCTCCAACACTCACAAGGCCCACTTTCCAAAGGGTCTCCAATTAATTAAAAATAAAAGTGAGCTTTGAATAAGCCTTTTATAGAACAAAATATGTACTTAAAAATAATAAAATATAAGTGAACAAACACAACACAACTGACTTCATGGTTTGTTTTGAGAAAGCCTTTAATGATTTTAGCCATGAAGGAATGCCTTGTTCGAGTCACTTGCATGAATGCATTAAGTTCAGATTACAAAGCAGCACTTTCCATTTCTTATATACACAGTGCTGCTTTATCTGCAGCCAACCAGCTCTACAAAAGCCAGTAATAACATTAGGTTTTAAATATGTATATATTTTGTTCAATTGTGTTTTCAAAGAGTGCATTTACAAAATATAGACATTCAGGAATCATTTAATATTTAATATTAAGAAATGCTCTTCAGAAAAGTGACTATTATTATATAATATTCCTTTTCCAATGGTTAGTTTGAGTGACTGAGTTGTGCAACTGACTTTTAATACTCAAAAGTTTTTTTAATGCTCAAGCTTTAAATCAGAGGTAGAGTCATCCTGAAGTTTTGTTCTAAAGGAAATCATATAATGGCTACATATTAATTGAAAACTGATGGTTCCACTGTTTGGTGAGTGGGTATTTTCCTTTTCCCAGGACACTGTTAGTTTTCTGTAGGAGAATATCTCCAAGTCTTCCCATTCTGAACTGATCACAGTATTCAAGATTCTATTATATATTCTACAGATCTGACCAGGTAGGCTTCAGCTTCTGGGAGAATATGCATAAAAATCTTTTTGTGTTGATTTTAATCTTGCAATTGTCTATGTCTGGGCATTAGAAGATGTCAGGGAATTGCGCAGTCGGTGTCCAAGAGCAGTCAGAGATGCTGACACAAACGTGTAGTTTTATATAAATAAATATATTTTACATTTATATTTATAGCAAACAAGATAGTCAGGCACATCACTACATCATGAGGTAAATCACAGAACAGCATACAGAGCACACAGAAGAAAAAAGGCAGAAAAAAAGGAAACTCCCCCTTTACAGCCAGCAACAAATCATAACGTAGATTGCTTCATGCAGCAGCCTGCACTCTCCAACCAATCACATACAACTTTGTATTCTGGCCCATTATACATTTTACTGTTCCAGCTATTATATTAAATATTTTGACAGAAGGCATCCAAGAAAACTCCTTGTGGTTGGACTAGAATGGTCAAGAAAGTGAGTCCATACATACTAACATCACAGTTGTATTTTATTTATAAAATAATCAATCAATAATAAAATAAATATATAAATAAATACATTCTAGAGACTATAACTCTAGAGTATAGTCTGCCAACTTGCTCCAAAATTACCACTGAACTATATTTCTTAATCTTTACAGTGCAAATAATTATTAAATACATTAGGAGTTATTCTACATAGCCATATTAACCAGATTTCAATTGAATTCATCGAATTAAGTCAACATTTAAAAAAAATTGTACTGACCCCATTCTTTGTTTTGATCCCACCTGTGCTGGAGAATGATCTTGACTGCAAGAAAGTAATACATCCAGTCATTCTAGGCTAAAAATATGACATTAAAGAAAGAGTTTTCAGGATTAGGTCGTATTAAATTATTCCACATAAACACTAGGGAACATTTGAAAATATCTTAAGGCCTCTGACGTAAGAAACCCACATGGCCTGCTGTTACGGTTTAAAAATAAAAACTTTCAATTTTCTTGCTCCAAATTTGCCACTTTTCAATTTTTCAATGGACTTGTGAATTTGGTATGTCTCCTAAATGTGCTGCTTTGTGATTTTGATTGGTGATCTGATCAAAAGAAGCTGGAAAGGTGTTCTTTATTTTCAATTCCTCTGTACAACAAACTTAGTGGATTGTGAATTATTTCAGCAACGTTCCTTGAGAATAGTCACATGTGCACAATCAACTGCAATTTCAAGTGAAGCTTAGTGCAAACTGAAAAACAAACCAGTCTTGAAACAATCCATTCTAAGCATTGTCAGTACAGTTTTTCTGTTCTATAAAAGCACTGAATATAGGTCCAGATTTTGTTACCTTTCCATTTAAATAAATACACCATACTTGTGAACAACCCTTTAATTTCATCCTCTTCACCTTTTGAAGGCATTTGGGGCAATTTTTTCCATGTTCAGTTCGATCTATTCAAGAAGCAATACTCATCTGAAAGTATTTAAAAAGAAAAATCTGTCTTTTTAATTCCCCAAAGCAAGCAGGAACCCCCCCCCTTTTTTTGTCATGCTTTTGCTCAGTAATTCTGGCAATGGCTTCCATAGAAGATGAGGTTTTAGTGTTTGTTGTAAATTCCCCAGTTTGGATATATACAAATAAGTCATAATTTACTGGTATTTGGTAAGCTGCCAGGAGGAGGCGTACACACCAATGCTATTTTTTTTAATGAAAGTATATATCAGTGATGGCGAACCTATAGCATGCGTGCCAGAGGTGGCACTCAGAGCCCTCTCTGTGAGCATGCGCGCCGCCTCTGCCAGCAGCTTGCACAAGTCCATTAGCTGCCACCGCTGCCCAGAGCGGCAGCCCCACCCAGCACAAAGAAGGCGAAGCGGCTAGCTAGCAAGCTCAAGTGGAGGTGGTAGAGCATGCCAAAGGGCACCCCCAAGCAGGGAAAGCCAAATCCCCATCGGTGCTATGGTCCCCCAGTCCCAGCTAGGATTGTGTTCCTCCCCCACATTTATGCTGGGCCTTCTGCCCACCGCCCCATCCACTAGAGCAGTGGTTCTTAACCTGGGCGATATTGCCCCCCAGGGGGCGATTTCATTTTTCAGGGGGGCGATGGAATGAAAATGGGCAACATGGGGGCAAAGGAACGAAAAGGGGGCAATATGGGGGCGATGGAGCAAGAAGTTTTGGGGACACTTTTGAGACTTTTTGGTACAGTGAATTGCTGTATATCTGTCATACAAAAAAATCAGATCGCTCACTATTAGTGGATTCAATTGTGTTTTCAAATGTTCCTCCAGCTAGCTTCAGTACAGAACGCCGTACATATGTGAATACGCATCGCTTATCTTCATGCGCGTTGTACAGCAGCCTCTACCCATACAGTGGTCCACCATTGGCCAGAATATGGGAGATATGGGAAAAAGACTGGAAATAAATTATTTGCATTGATATGTCCTGATGGCAATTTTAAAGAAAACAAAAAAAGTGTTTGCATAAATTGAAGAATTATTTCCTATGTTGTGATTGAGAGGTTATGTTGGGGGAGGGGGGTGATGACAACTTCCTCATTGGCTCAAGGGGGCAATTCGTTCAAAAAGGTTAAGAACCACTGCACTAGAGAACCTCTGGATCTCCCCCAACCCTGCCCGGCCCCCATAGGTGTCCCCCCATGAGCAATATCAAGGTGGCCATGCCCACCCCAGTCACACCCATTCAGGCTGCCGTGACAACTGCAGCCATGCCCACCCAGTGGGCCACGCCTACCCAGTGGGCCATGCCCCCATGCCCCGCCTGAGAGCACCACAATGCTAATGCGGCACTTTGCGATAAATAAGTGGGTTTTGGGTTGTGGTTTGCGTACTCAGTCTCTAAAAGGTTCGCCATCACTGGTATATATTAAACTGTCCTATGTAATTTTTCAAGTAGTACCTATCCTTTAAAAGTAATCTTTTAAACTTCAGTTTTCTTCTGGCCATTCTAATCTCAACTTCTCAACATTCACAAACTAAGAAAAATAACAGTAGTAAGACCACAGATATAGAAACTGGTATAAATAAGGACATTTAAAACAGTGGTTCTCCACCTTTTTAATGCCGTGACCCCCAACCGGTCATAAGTCGAGGACTACCCAACTGGTCATAAGTCGAGGACTACCCAACCGGTCGTAAGTCAAGGACTTTCCCTGCCCGAGAGTGCCGCGCATGCGTGGTGCCGCCCCCTGCGCTGGCCGAGGGGTAGCTGGCAAGGAGCAGCGACGGTGCAGGGCAACCACCGGCTGGGCCACCAGCTGGCCCAGCCCAAGGGAGGTAAGGCACCCGCCGGGCCCCATGCGCTCCAGCAACCCTCCTTGCGCCTGCCGGCCTCCCACCTTCCACCCCTTACATTTTTAGTAGTTGCTCAGCAGGGAGGGGTGGAAACTTCCAGACAGCTCGCCTTCACTGCAGACAATTTGCAGCACCGTTTGCAGACTGGGACTTTTGGTGGGCTCAGCAGGGCATAGACAGCCTGGACAATTCCTATTGGCTTTTGAAAGCCAATAGAATTAGACTCTATTCAAAAAAGTCTATTCTATTGGCTTTCAAAAGCCAATAGAATAAAAGGGAGTAGCACAGCTAAGGAAAAGGGGAAAAAATGGCGGACTGCTTGTTTGGCGACCCCCGTGAAATGGTCATTCGACCCCAAATGGGGTCGCGACCCACAGGTTGAGAACCGCTGATTTAGAAGCATAGCCATAGATTCAGGTGCTTAATTCTTAACTTTTGAGATGTACATGTATTGCTATGAACTTTAACAAAAATGTTATAGAGCTTTGTTTTCATTAGTATGATGCACATTCTTATTTCTGTTCACAGTTGGTTCCAGACATGTAGCATAGCCATCCCCAACCTGGTGCCCTCTGAATGTATTGGAATGACAACTTCTTAGAACTTTTAATTTGCATGGCTTTGACCTTAAGTTCTCATTCCAGCATAGAAAACTCACCAAGCTGAGGCTAGGCTAGATTATATCTAGAGGTTTTTCTAATTATATATATTTTATACTTGTTTAGAGTTATATTCTATGTTCTATATTTAGTTTTATTGTGCTTATTGTATATTTTGAATAATAGCGTAGCAAGCAACATGGAGCACTTCCTTCAATAAAAAGACAAGAAATGTTTTCTTTAAATAAATTAAATTTTCAGGGACACTTTATGCAACGGGTCTTACTTCCAAGTAAATGCCTACAGAATTGAAACCTAAATCTGTATCTGTTTACAGGCTGAATAATCTTCCCTGCTGTGGAAAGCCAAAATGAAAACATTCCTTCAGCCTTCTTTCAACATTTATGAAGAATTGCATGACTCACATATGTAAATATATCCTGTCTTCCTATGGAAATGAGATAGGCCACCCTTGCATGGATTCCTTCTGGTAAAAGGGCTATTAATGTATCCAACAAAATACAAATTATAGTTTGTGGCAAAAAAAATTAAAGCACAATATGCAGAGAAGTTTATTTTAATTTTTCCAGATGTATTTCTTCAGATGTCACAAAACAAATTTTGTTCCAACTTTCCTCCAACTACAATGGTTTTTAAGTAATGAATCAAAAACAGTATTATTTGTGAGTAGGAACAGCAGTCTTTAAATTGAGCATTCCCTTGAGGCTAACCCTGTGACTCAAAAAAACAAAAACAAAAACAAAAAACCCTGGGGGTGATTTTGAAGAAGCATTATTCAACTTTTGGGCAGAATGGACTATAGAAAATTTGGCCTGATACTGACAATATGCACAGATAATTGTAAGGCAATAGTCTTAATAAGCATTTAATTGTTATCTTGATTTGGTTTTCATTGATCACATGCACTGTAATTTAGATTTTGGGTTGTTGTTTTTTCATTCTGGAGTATTTTATTTCCAGACATTTATGCTTCTTAAAAACCCTTGGTTAAAGCAGTATTCATGCTACATACCTATACATATATAAGTATAAACAGGCTTTCAAAATTTTCCACTGCGTTTCTGGACCAAACAATTGGTGAGTGTTTGGTTTCTCCAGAGTCACAGCAATGGCAGCAGCAGAATCTTGAAAAAGTCTAGTGTGTGTGTGGGCTGTGGGGATGGGAGGGGTGGGGTGGGGTGGAGAGTTCCCTCAGGATATCTTCTCTTGGGATTTAATTGAAGTCTGAGAAGGCAGGCAGGATGAAGGCTGGGGAGAAGAGATGTTGATTCAAGGAAAGAGAGGCCTTCACACAGCCTCCTTGACCATCTTATAATTAAACTGTGAAAGAACCACAGTCTACTCCTGAGAATTTCTCTGAAATTCTCTTTTGCCTTGAAAGAAAGTCTAAAGCAAATAAGCTTTTTCTTCCACATCAAACTGACTAAAAACTGGTAGGAAAAAATGGAGAATTTGTCTTCCTAGTAATTATGCATAGCGCTTTACATCAACATTTGCATTAGGTAACAATGCAAATTAAAAAATAAAAAATATGGGTTTAGTAGGTTGCCCAAATAAAGGATAAGCTTTTATGCTTCTTAATACTGTTCTTCAGGCTGGCTATTAAGCAAGAGAGAGAGAAAGAGGCATATAGGAGGAAATAGGTATTTCTGGTCATGGTTAAAAAAAGAACACTATGTGCTAATTAACAATCATTAACAGCTGATTATTTAAAATCATGCCTTCATGTTAATGAGCTAAACCCATACCACTGAAAATAAAAAAAATATTTAAGAAGAATCTGAAATACTGTACATGTGTTATGGGTTGCATTGCCTTAGCCCAGTTACTCACTTTGAAATTTGTTCAGTTTTTTTAAATGTACTTCTCTCATAAATTACAAAAGCTCAGTAACATGAGTTTTCATTCTTGCATATATGCTACTCACTTGCATTGTTTCCTTGTCTCATTCTTACAAGGGGATGGAGAGAATTTTGCTTGGCTCACATTTCTAATTCAGATTTCCCAGATTAACAAACCATAATTATACTTTGGATTTTGTGATCAGTTTTCACTTCAGAATTGTTTAAAAAGAGAAAACCTAAACCACCACTGGTTATAATCCTTGATATCTTGTAGCCTTGATATATGCACCTGAGTTCTCTCCAAAACAACAGTATTGTACAGTTATGAGATCAGTACTCTACACTGATGCAGGCACATATTTTTAAAAGGCTTCCATTATAGAAAAGCAATTTTTAATAGTTAAAGGCAATTCAGCTGAAAATCAGTGATGTTTTCATAAGAAAACTTCACAGAACTCCATATGCTTTCTAAGATCCAGATGATCCTTTGAAATTGTGATACAATCTCAATTTCCCTTAAAATGTGGTACCAAATCCATATGTATCAGGAAAAGGATTCCCAAAGAGATTTGAACAGTTCTTTATCACAGTCTATTAAATAAAGAAATCATATTAGTAATAGGGAAATTTTTATGTTCAGAGCAAGTGCACATCTCAGTACCATAGCTTTAAATTATTTATGCAGAGTTTATATAAGCAAAAAATGAGGGGTTTTGTTTAGGCAGAAACATACTTTTGGTTATTGACAATATTTTTGAAATATTTTATTTATGGTTATTTTTGAAAAGGTTAGATGAAGGATATTTTTAAAAAGAGTTAAAAATGAATTTTAATCACTTTATTCAGAATCTTTTTTTTAAAAAAAAAGTCAAAACTACTGCTTGCAATGATGGAAGATTATTGTATCATTCATTATTTGTGATAGCATAGACAGTGACTAAAATGTGCTAGTGGCCCTCATGCTTCATAATGCATGAAGCAAAGGAATGACTGCTGGAGTGGTGCTGTCACATTTTCTTCGTACAGATTTTGCAATGTAATAGTTGGAAGGAGATCTTGGGACTACTTGGGAAGCACTACATTAGAAACGGTCCAGAGCTGGGGTCCTCTCAGTAGGCAAATAACACTTGGTCACTGCTGGTTTTTTTAAAAAAATCTAACGTTATGTTTATTCTAGTTACTACATTTGGCTAGTTGGCCTATTGTGCTAGAAGCTTTTTAGATACTGCTAATTTTAGATTAACATACATATCAATCAGAATAGAGCTAGAAGGGACCTTGGAGGACTTCTAGTCCAACCCCCTGCTCAAGCAGGAAACCCTATAAAATTTGAGACAAGTGGTTGTCCATTCTCTTCTTAAACACATCCAGTGAGGAAGCCCCCACAACTTCTGAAGCCCCCACAACTTCTGAACTTCATATGACATATAATTATGCCATATGAAAATGATATGCTCTAAATTTTTCAATTAAATACATAAATGACAGTCTTCTACAGCAATTTCACATTTGTGTACTAAACACAAATATGTCTTATATTAGGCCTCATATGAGTTTTTTTCAAAGGACATAAGGCTTTAGCATGTTACATCTGTGTTGGATCAGCAATGTTTACATGCTCTACAGCAGTGGTTCTCAACCTTTTTAATGCCGCAACCCCCAACCAGTCGTAAGTCGAGGACTACTCAACTGGTGCAGCACCGTTTGCAGAATGGGACTTTTGGCGGGCTCAGCAGGGCAGAGACAGCCTGGACAATTCCTATTGGCTTTTGAAAGCCAATAGAATTAGACTCTATTCAAGAGAGTCTATTCTATTGGCTTTCAAAAGCCAATAGAATAAAAGGGAGTAGCACAGCTAAGGAACAGGGGAAAAAATGGCGACCCCCATGAAATGGTCGTTCGACCCCAAATGGGGTCCCGACCCACAGGTTGAGAACCACTGCTCTATAGTGTTCTGATCATGCCTTTGCAAAAGAATGTTCCCTGTAACAAGAAATGTATCAAATGCCAAGGAAAGGGAGTTTCCAATGTTTACAGATTATGGAATCATTCGTGTCATTTCTATATGTGTCACCAATACTACACAACTTTAGATACAGTTCTAAAGTTAGGAGGAAATCTCAAAGAAGCCACACATTTCAGTGCCATATAAAGGCATTCACAGCACTGAGGAAGAAACAGCTAAAAGTTTGCATTTGTAACTGTAGAAGTGAAAATAAAAGAGGTTGCAATTCGCAAGTCTCCCTCTCGAAACAGAATTTTCTTTCACAAAAAAATTCTAGAATATAATCAAATGTATTCTTTTAAAAGTTTTCTGCACTTAATTCAATATTTTAAACAATGTATCTTCTTTATCTAATGTACAGGAATATTTTACAAGATCACTATTTTTTGCAGCTTTTCATTTTATAAGCACTGAGTGGAAATTAAGAAATAGGGATATTTATGCAATAACAGAAGTAGATGCGATTTTTCCAACAAACAGCCACCAATGAACAAAAAAGGCATGCAGTGACTGGAGGGGCACAACCACATTTTCTCCCTTTTTAAAAAAATGGATGTGATATGTTTTCCATAGTAAAATAGATTTATTAAGCTTATTGAAAGAAACAGATTTTCGTGCAAATGTTCAGTTACTCCTAGTCTAGTTATACATTGAATCTCTATGTGAATAGAAGAAGATATAACTTTGGTACAAAGTTAAACATGTATTTCCACAACTTTGAACACATACTTGCGATTTGCAGTATGTGTGGTTGGTTATCCATTAAAAAAATTACTAAATTTGACAGGTGCTAAAGTTTGAAGCTCATTTAGTCAATACTTTGCAAAACCTGTTTTGGCAGAAATAACAGTTTCCAAATGTTTCTTATAGTAAGGAAGTTTTTTGTTTTTGTAACTTTTCCCCCACTCTGTTTCTGGAATCTTAGTTCAGAAATATTCTCAGGTCATTTTGCATGAAACTGTATGTTTCAGATCTTCCCTCAGATTTTTAATAATATTCAAATCAGGGGATTGTGAAGGCCATTTAAATATCTTAACTTTGTTTCTATAAATACATGATAGTTGATTTGGAGGTATGTTTTAGATCATTGTCTTGCTGAAATATAAATTCCATTTCCAGAAAATTTTTATTTAATTTTGTACATTCTAGAGGAGGAGTAAATTTCTTAGGGATTCATTGACACATACAATTCCAAACGGGATTATACATGGCTGATATAATTTTAAACAATATCAGTTAAATATTACATTTTATAATTCAGTGGGATGCCTCAGAACTTTAGTGGCAGATTTTCAAGGGATCTGGGGATTACTTAATAAAGGCAAGAAGCTACTTGACCTATGGGCATGCACTAAATCAAAACAACATGTAGCATATGTTTGCTATATGCTAATAATTGCTATATTTACAAAATGTATATGTTTTGAGTTTTTCCAATCCTTATAATCTCTCTCTCTCTCTCTCTCTCTCTCTCTCTCTCTCTCTCTCTCTCTCCCTCCCTCCCTCCCTCCATCATCCATCCATCCATCCATCCATCCATCCATCCATCCATCCATCCATCCATCTATCTATCTATCTATCTATCTATCTATCTATCTATCTATCTATCTATCTATTTTCCAATCACTTGCAGTTTTGAGCAAAGCAATTGCTACTTCAGTATCCCTGATCCGTAAGTAGGTCTGTTATCTTCAT